TATTTTCAAGCTAACTTTTTTGGAATTTTGAAATCTCAAAAATCAGGTCACATTAGATCCAACACAGTAAATAAACATACAGTTGAGCTTTTATAAAGTCCTTATTACAAGTCTCCCTTTTCAACAAATTTTTCTATGAAATGTTGAAAATATGTATTTTTTTTTTACATTTACAAATATCTCTAACAACATTTAATTTCTTTATAATAAACTTTTGAAAACTAGAATAATAAAAACAAAATCTTATTTTTCATATTGATAATTGTTAAAATTGGCTAAAACGATAATTCATTTTGAAGCTCACACTGGCCTAATGGCCATTATGAGAACAGTACAAATCTGTACTCTCAATAAAACTGAATCAACTGTGTATGAAGAGTTTCAAATGACAACTGTTTGATATATTCAAAACTGTAAAAAACTGATTTCCATTAGCAGGGAAACATTCTAGATGAAATTTTTATTTATTTAAATAATGTTAGATTCATTCAATGAACGTAAAATACAGTATCTTTAAGCAAAACAAAAATACAAGTTGAGGATTACCATCAATTTTCTAACATAAATTTGCAAGAATACTCATTATTTCTATCATATTTTTTCCAATTTCAATAAAAAATCATTATGCTTTCTGTTTGGATTTTTTCATATAAAATTCAAATGTAACACTTTATTATTAATATGAGTGCCAGAATATGAAAAGATAACATGGCAAATAAAATGCAAATTTCATGGCAAATAAAATATCATTACAGTGTACTGTAATGATATTTTATTTGCCATGAAATTTGCATTTTATTTGCCATGTTATCTTTTCACTATCATACATTTTCTATTTAATAAATTCTTGATGTTTTATGAAGACAATTCATTACAATAAATTTTAACTGTGTTCTAATTCAGATTATATTAATAACTATTGATATAAATGCATTTTAATGTTGTTTCAGATAGCAACATTCATCAGATAAAAGTTTAAGATCACAGTCTTCTGACATTAATAAAGTTTTGACAAGTTAGGCTTTACTCATCAAAACTATTAATGCCAAAAGACAGTAATCTTAAACTTTTAACTCAAAAATCTGGTGTGACAAATAATAATTTCTTCATACTCCTTGCAGTTTTCATTCTATGGAAATTGCAAGGTAATATTTTTCACATAACATTCATCAGCATGATCTGAATATCTGTTACTTCAAACAATGTTGTTATATTGTTTTAGAGGATTTTAACACAGTAATAATAAAATACATAATTGATTACATATTCAAAGATGTAACTTTATATCTATCATGAATCAGTTTTTTGAAATTATTAATTTTTCAATATTGTTACTCCATTGATCATATCAATAACTTTTTCCAAAAATAAGACTGAAGGGAAAACAAACTGTCCAATTTATCAAAAATCTAGAAGTACTGTTTGTTTATTTCATATTCCAATTATATTTGATTCAATTTACTATTTAAATGAAACAATCATAATTTGATTTATTTTATAAACTTAAAGGAAAAAGATTACCAGTAAGTAAAAATATATAGAAGTACACCAACAGAAACTACAGACAAATAGTTTGACATTACTTAAAATTTTCTAATACAGTGTTTAGCTTTCTATGTCACAAATATCACATGTATTTTTTTTAATGCTATGATTCAGAATTAAACTGAATTGAAATTGATATATATTTAATGAGAGGAAAAAATTAAATTGCAAGGACTTCCTTTTCATATATTTATTGTTATTTTTCAATTTAATATGATATTTATCTTTTCATTTTTTCTTAAAATTGATATCATATATTTTTCTTATATTTGCTACAACTTTTATTAATTTAATACTAATTTAATAATGTGCAATATCTGCAAATCTAATCTGAAACTTATTTTAAGGTTAAAACTGACATTTCTACTGTTGTATTTGGTTTTCCAATGTAAAAAAATAATAAATTCTTACAATGTATTTTTGTGAACTTTGATTCAAAACATAAGATTCTATTTTTTGATAATGTATTTTTTTTGTACTTTTACAATAAAATAAAAAAAATTGTAAAATTGACTTTTACATTTAAAAAAATATGATAAAAAATGTTCATTACTAAATCAAATATTTCCACAGACATTTCAGTACTTATATAACCATATGATCATATATTCCTGTGAGATAGGAAAGTAAATAAATGTAATTATCTTATATATTTGTTTATATTAAATTTGTGACTGATTTATTATTCATTAAAAATTACTTCATGATTTCCTTACAGTCATTAATTCATATCATTAAAATCAATTGGAATTGTTTTTCATAAATAAGTTTTTCAATTAGTAATTTAAAGTAATTACTTTAACATTTATTAAAATATTTGATATAAATGAAATTGCAATTTTAACATATGTAAATGATTACATAAGATTTTTCACAATGTAAATTTTATTGTGAAAGATCATTTGCAATAATTTTATTCTAGTTCAGATTTTTAAAAATTTGAAGAATTTTTAAATTAAATGTATTAAAAAATTGTCAAAGTATTCATAAAATAATAAATATCTATCACAATTTATATTATTTAAATAATTAAAACATTATATACAATTATTATATTACTAAATATTTACATAATTGCAAGACTGAGTGAATATTTAAATAATGAATTTTTTTAAATTTGTTTTTATATTTTAATTAAAATAACTGATGATTACATTATACAAAACTAGGGATTAAAATTATACAGTACTGTATATGAATTAATAAAGAAAAATTTGAGTTTTTAGACAGCTTAATTGGAAGTAAACATGCTTGCTTTGCAAAAATATAAGTTCTCCTCTAAGATATACTTTTAATTAAATTCAAAAAATAAATCTAGATAATTAAAATTTATTTGGCCATTAAAATTATCAACAGATGCCAACATTACCTCCAAACAGTGACATTTAAATCATTTGTATAATCCCTATCTTAATTATATCTAAATTATTAAAAATAATCAGATATTCTCGCAATTTATGTCTATATTTAAATTATTATGAAAAAAAAACTTTCAAGTATGGGATGGTAGGATTTACAATCAGGAAATGAATGAATTCAAAGTAAAATAAAAATATTTTACTTTGATGTAACTGTTACATTTAAAATTAAATTTGTATGTTATTAATATCTTTTCTTTCATTCAAAATGTTTGAAAAAAATTTATTTTAACAGATTTATACTATTTAAAAAAATGAAACATGTCTGGCATAATTGAAAAATTAAATTAGAAACAAAACTTCATATTTAATAAATTATTTTTTTTAAATATTTAAAATACAGTAATGTTATAAATCTCAATTTATCAATAAAAAGTTTTTGCAGTTATAAAATATCACAAAGATTTACAAAAATTAAATTTATGCATTATTTAGAGAGTTTTATAAATAGATTTTATGAAACAAACTTGTTAAATTCTTTAGTAGACATGTTCCATAAGTAAACAAGTAAATCTATATTTTTGGAGAAGAAGTGATAATAAAGTAATAATAAAAATAATAAATTTAGAAATTTCAAATCTTATCAACATATGTTTTTTCATTTTTATTACAACAGTTTGTAATAATATAGCAAAACATTTTCCCAATATTAATTATTATTTGAAAGAAAAAGCAAGAAAATAATTTATGAATAAAACTTCGATTATTTACAAATTACATTTAATAAATAGTATTTCCTGAAACTATTACAGCAGAATTATTAATGAAAGTATCATATAGTTAATTAATTTATTATTCAATTAATTAACAGCAATAAAAATTTGAATTTATGCTAACTTAATGGTTTGTTATTCATTTAAAAATGAACAATCACAGCATTACAAAAACTAAATTTATAAGTTACTGTATTTACTTGCATGTAAGATGAGGTGAGACTCTAAAAATCAAAATGAAGAAAATTAGATTTATTAATACAATTCTAATTTTATTTCATTTAATCACAAATAAAATATCAAATGCATGTAAATTCACATATTGTGCCGCAAAAATCACCAGCATCTTAAACTTTAAGGAAAATCTTGTAAAATCAACAACATAATTTGTTCATTTAAAACTAGACAATCAGGAACCTTTCTCGCCAATTCTTAACTGTCAAATTCACTCTACGTCGATTACACTTACGAGTTTCTCCGAATTCTGAATAACCATCAGTTTTCACGTTGGAATGGATTAAAACTTATATCGGGCTCCCGTGTGATTTTGGAATTTCAATTCAAAAGTTTCACTTTTCCTATTGCTATTCATCTTTACCCGACAATACACAAGAATGATTCAAACGACTTGGATAAAATACTTTTGTTTTTAAATGCCAGAGATTGAGCATCCGGTAAAAAATGCAAATACATGGTTCACAAAAATTATTTCAAAAACGCAAAGAATCCTTTGATTGCACATATAGGACAATGCAGGTTTTTCAAGCAGCAAAAAATGAATAAAAAAACCTCATCCTATATGCGAGTAAATACATTATTACTTATTGAAAGAAATAAGAACATTCAGATGCAATGCTAAAGTATGTATATTTATAATCACATAATGATGAAAATTATCATTAAATCTGATTTTGTATTTGTAATACAGATCACCGCAAAGTATTGTAATTTATTTAAATACAATTTTTGTAGAAATTTTAATAACATTTAATTAATTTCTTAATATTCTGAATGTGTATTTAAAGATTAAATTCTATAAATTAAATAAGATTTCATTTTAACTCAGCACTCAGTAACATTATATTGAAGAAACTAAAATGCAATCATTAACATAAAATTTCCTTCCCCTCCTGAAAACATTGGATTTAATTACATTATTAAGTCAATGGATATTGTTTAATCATTCATTAATTTATAATGTATTTAATTCAACTGTGAATATGAATGTATGAAAAGTTTTAAGTGTATTTTATGACGAGAAGATAAATATTAATTAATACAAATTAATGTAATAATTATAACATGAGGTTTTCTAATAACTCACCTTTGATATTAAAAGAGAGTTTCTGCAAGTTGTTCTGTTTAAATATTCTTTTTTTCTCGTTTTTTACTGGTAAAATATATAAGAGTATTATTTCTTCGTCTGACTCACGACCAACATGTCGCTGATGGAAGCGACCTCTGCAGAGACGAAAATTGATTAATGTGTACTTCCATAGGAGACCTTCGAGAAAAAAAAAATAAATAAATAAAATAAAAACTGTTTAAAGAAACAAATTAATTATTTAATGTATACGATTAATACTTTACTTATTTAAATTAAAATAATATGATAATAAATATTACATTTTTATCATTATAAATATATTTTATTATCATAGATATTATTTATAAGTCTCGGACTAGAAAGAATGATAATAGCGATATTGTGATAAATTGGACAAAATATGAAATCTCTATGAATTGACGAACTTAGAATAGACACGGAAATAAAAGATATTTTTATTATTTTATCTCGGATAATGTATAGTTACATTTTATTATCTAAATAAATAGAATTTTATTTTATGTAAAAGAATAGCTCGCTATTTAATCTACCGAAACTGATGGTGCCGGTTCCTAGTTTATCTTGATTAATCTGACTGTTTTTTACGGGAATGGAATTAAAAAAATAATAAAAATAATAACGTTTTTATGTTTTTATGGATTTTAAAATAATAAAATAAATTCTAGAAAAATTATTTCCTTAGTTTCGTTTTGTTTCCATACGCTATAAAACCATTCTCAATCTTAATCTAGGAAGAGAATGACTTTCTAAAAGAAGAGCGAACTGAGAAAATTATGAAATGATTAAGTGATGTCGGAAATAAGCTTTGCAATGGCTTTAAAATACCAAGAAAACGTCATAAATAATTCTTAAAATAAAATAACAACTCAATATATAAGTTAAGTAAACCGAGTTTTCGAAATGAATTTTTTAAATTTTTTTTTATTTTTTTAAAAAATACTGCAAATATAAAAATAACTCGTATTAATTTAATAGACTGATGACAAATATTCGACATAATATTTACAATTTCTATATCGTTTAAAAAAATTTTTAATTTAACTGGAGTTTAGACCCTTCGATTCGGTAATAAAAATCATCAATTATTTTAGTTTTAGTAATAGTTTGGACTTATATAACTGGCTAAATGACATTTATATTACTATATTTGGTTTTCAACTGCATGAACGTAAGGATATAGATCAGAATTAGCATTTTCTAATGGAAATTATATTCATGGTAGACAACCTTACCACTTACGTCACTAAAACAAGTAGGTTTATAACTTACGAAACAGCGTTAAACAGGTGAGATTCGTATACTGATATATTGATAATTAATATTATAACTATAGACTACGATAAGAAAAATTAATGTAATTTGTTTAAACATCAACGAGCCGGCATATAAATATTTAAAAATTTTATAATAAATGTTCTTAATAATTATCTTTGCGCAATGTTTTTAATTATAAATAAGTGTTTAAAATGATATAAAACTTATTTACTATTTAAAGTTAATATATATTTTATTTAAAATTAAAAAAAAAGTTTAAAGTCGAAGTACAGTAATTAAATACTAAAGTATACTGATGAGATTTATAACATTCTTTTAAGACTACTATCACTGTAATTCTTCTTTTTTTAGATAGAAAACTGTAATTAAATAATATAATTCGCATTCTTATAAATCTAAATTTAATCAGTTTATAACTTTTAATTAATAAATTAACAAAGTTAATAGGATTATATATAAGATATTTACTTTATTAAAAATAAGAAAAATCATATAAAGCTAACCCCTTACCGAAATTTCCCTGCTAAGCATTTGAGTATGAAGTTCAAGTTCTCTACTGATAAGTAAATCTTGAATAAATTTTCAAAGTAAACAAAATTGAATGTAATTTATAAAGTCATACTTTTAATAAAATAGTAATTCTTTTGTTAATATAAATATGTTTGCGTATTTCGATCAATATTCATAACATAAACCTACATTTCTTGTTTAAATAATTTGTAAAATTTACATAACAATTTAGTTATTGCTTACATTTTTTCTTTCAACTTTAGGTCAAAGCGTTGGCGATCGGACTGTCATCCGTCTTAAAATATGATCTAAGAAAAATCTAATCAAATTTAATTTCTAAGAATATATTAAAAAAAAAGTTATAAAGTTACAGCTAAGATAAACTTATAAACACGCAAAAAAAAGTAACAGAAAAAAAATATTCGTTATTTTTCTGTATAAAAACTAAGTTAATTAATTTTTATATCCTGTAACGGTAAAGCCGATTTTACTCCAAACTGCTTCAAAATACTATTTATTGTTCGAAAACAAGTTTTTATTAAATAGATGGAAGCTTACATGTCGTAATGTTTTTACCCCATCCGGGGTAATTGCCTTAAGATGTTATCCAGTCCACTACCTCTGCAAACTTGTTGAACTTTGGGTGTAAAACAAGGTCGTAGTAAATGGCGTAGGCATTTGGTCTTCATCCTCCACACATATAATAAGAGAGTTTACTAAGACATTAGGTAACAATAGGAACTGCTTCATATCTAGTAAGTATCTTACTCTTTTATATCACGTAAATCATAAAACTTTTAACAAATTTTAATTCGTTAGCCTATTGTAATACTTTTTCTAACTTTTTTACGAGTGTGTTTGTATGAAGTACTTCAAGGAGAAAGTCGATAATTATATATGTGTTTATAAATAGCAGTATTTATGAGGAGTAAGAAAAAAAATTTTGTTTTTTACTTAAAGTTTTATAAATATAAAAACTATAAGTAAAATATAGAAAAACTGTAACCCTTTGTAAGATATAAAAATATAAATTCCTTGCGCTACATTATGCATTCCAATAGTATTTTCAATCGTTCTTCCTACTTCGTAGTTGCGAAACATTGCTATATAAAATTTAATGTAGCAAATGTTGTAGTGTAAGCTTTAAACACGGTTTACTTCATCAAAAATTTAAAACTTCGAGTTTTCGAATTTTGCAGAGTTCTTTTTCGTAAAATATCCTAAAGATCAATGAAAGGATTCATTCCTCAATTTAAGAAATTAAAGCTATTTACCAAAAAATAATTGCGTTTATATATATAAATATACATAAAGTAAAATATTCACTTTTTCCATCAAAAATTGCGAAATATGCTTAGAAAAATATTTATTTTGGTTCAATAAACTTACATTTGCGCAATAGTGAGAGGCGATATTGGGTTATTTTGCGGGTCATCATCGACCTTCAAGCAATTTGAACATCCTTGAAGTCTATTTAATTTTATCTGGTGCTATGTTGTTATAGGGAAAGCCTTTCTATTAAATGAAATGTGTCAATCCTTTCATTAATTAAATGACCAGATATATTTATAAATATGAACGATGAAACATTATGGTAAATACATTTTTTATTTGATATTTTTACTTTATTAAATTAGTTTTTAAATTAAAATTTCGTTTTAAAACATAGCCATTAAAAGATTTACATTTATCACTGTTTAAGTGTTTAAAACTTTTTAAAAAAAGCATTTAAAATTAATGTAAATATATTGTTCTTCTTTCGTGAGAATTTCTATGAATTAACTTTATTTTAATTAATTTTTAAAATATTTTTCATCTAAATCTCAATTTCCTGCATTCATATATACGGATTAAATTAAGTACAGTATACAATATTCAAAATAAAATTATATATTATTAAAATAATTGAATAGATTTATTACGTATTTAAATATTAATTTAAATAATTAATTATAAACATTAAATTAATCTTGCGTCATTATAATTATTTACAAATTACAAAGCGGTAGAGTGTAAAGTAAATACTACGATAATAGTGTGATGATTGGTCTGGTTTTGTATTATTTTATAGCTTAAACCGGATACATAATGTATATTAGAGACAAAAAAAATTTACGATATAGAATTCGATATAAATATCCAATTATTGCTGTAATAATGTTCCATTTATTTGATCGATTTTGAAAGAGAAGAGAAAAATTTCATTACAAATATCTGTATGCAAGTTTAATAAAGTAATTTTGTTGTAGTGCTTCGTATTATAGTCATAAATCTTTTTATACGGGAATGTTATCAATGCGAAATATTTAAATCGAAAAATCTGTAACGTTGGAGATTAAATTCATACTTTTTCTTGAGAAAAACGTAAATAAAAATGGAAGATATGGAAGTGAAAATTTTTGTAATTTTTATTATATATAATTACAAATTGAGGTTCAGATTATTCTAGCAATAGCTGTTTTTCTATGATTGTGAGTTAAAATTATCTTAACATATAATTTATAACTTATGCCACAGGTCATAATTAGATTCCCTTAAAAGGGAATCTAATTATGGACTCGAGTATATTAAAAAAAAAAAGGCAATGTACAAGATTGTATTGTATTTTTTAAATAATAAAATTTAACAAATAAAAACACTTTCTTAATACATAAGAAATAAAATGGAAATAAAGATGATTACAATATTATACAATAAAATATATAACATATTAAATTTGTTATATATAAAATTATATATTATTTATACTTAATATTAAAATATTATTATATTAGTTGATTAATATCATTAGGAAAACAGAAAATGTGTTTTGATTTAAAAATTAGTTTCTTCTATCCGAAATTTTATTAAATTTGTTTAATGCACGTTGATAAATCATTTCTGAAAGATTTTGTTTTTCTAAAATCGATATTAATTTTATATAAAGTCTGATATTTGCACAGAATTTTTTCTTTGATTAGTTATTTAGTCATTTAAACTGATAAAACAGACTTGCGTTTAGAAGATAAATAAATATAAGTACTATAATGGTATGTAATACTATAATGGTAATACTATTGGTATGATTTATTATGGGTTATTATACAAATCTGTTATCAATTTAAAAGAATCTAAACAAAAACAAAAACAAAAAGTATAATGGATCATTAGTGAGTATATTTCCACAACTATTTGTGACCTTCTATCTTGAATTAATGTTAATGATTTTCAAATTATTTTCTGAGAAAATTTACACTAATAATACATTCATTAAGCAAATATTTTTGTTTTTTAATACAGGAAAAGAAGAATGAATTTCATAATTATAACAGTTTTGTTCACACTTACTGTATTCGTATCACAGGCGTATGCAAATGAACCGGGAAGAAACTCGACTGTCACGGAATATCAAAATAGACCGGCTACAACAAGACGACCTACCCAAAATTTAGCATTATTTCAAAGACCTTTACTAGGAGGTTCTGGAAATTTCTTAAATTCTTTAGGATCTCTTCTTGGTAATTTAGGAAGTCTTGCAGGTCTGGGAGGTCCTGGAGGCTCTGGTCTTCTTGGTGGTTCTGGAGGTTCTGGACTTCTTGGAGGTTCAGGACTTTTTGGAGGTTCTGGACTTCTTGGAGGATCTGGAGGTTCTGGACTTCTTGGTGGTTCTGGAGGTTCTGGACTTCTTGGTGGTTCTGGAGGTTCTGGACTTCTTGGAGGATCTGGAGGTTCTGGGCTTCTTGGGGGTTCAGGAGGTCTTGGTAGTCTTTTCAATTTCGGAAACTTAGGCAATTTCGGAGGTTCCAACTCTGGAGGTTCCAGCTCCGGAGGTTCTGACTCCGGAAGTTCCAACTCACTCGGATTATCGAATTTATTCGAAGGAGCCACTTCCAGGTTAAATGAAGTTTTGGGCACTATGACGGGTGTTTTGGCAGCCGTCGGAGGTGGCTATCTATTATACGTAGCTATGGTGGCTGCATATGGTAACGTTCTAGGACAGCAATATCATTTAGCGGGACATCGCAGTTCCGAAAATTTCTTCGAGAAAATATCATCTCTCGATTACCCCGAATTAGTTTTTGATTGGTTAAAAGTAGAAGACGAACAATGCAAAACGAAAATGGTTTGTCAGCTGCATTCATTTTTATCTCAAAATGGTTTACCAGCTGTTGCGTTAGACGGATTGAGGTAAAATTAAACTAAATCATTTTTTTTTCTTTTTATTATTATTAAAACATTTAGAATAGTAAATGAAAATTCTTGTTTTATTTTATTTTTATAGCCGGAAAATTCCAGGAATGAAAAAATATATTAAAGCGGCAAGAAGAGGAGCGAAGAATCAAAGTTGTCACAATTCCTGTCCTCTGTCATTTACTCAAATTTTCTTAAGGGCATTTGGATTTCTTTGACACTTTTACATAATTCAATTTTATATAATGGATAATTTGCATATCACAAATGACATACCGTATGTTGAAAAATTTGAGAAAGTTTACAAATAATATATATTTTTATTTAAAAAAAAAATATCTTGTATACAAATATACATATAAATTAACATTAAAATATTTTTATATGAAAATTTATTTATAACTTATTTATTTATTTATATTTAAAATGAAACATATTAATAAAAATTGTATAATTAATTAAAAAGCAATTAATCAAAATAAATGAATAATTACCTGTTCACCATGTAAAAGATCTTCCAATAATTCTGCATTTCCCCATAAAGCTGCCTGATGGAGCAAAAGACCAGAAAATTCTTCTTCGTTATCATCTTCAGCCATAATTAAGTTTTATTATTCAAATACCTATTATTGAAAAAAATATTACAATTTAATACAAATATTAAAAGTGATAAACTTTATAATACAACTATACATTTCAAGTTATGTAATTTTACACATGAAAAGCAAAACTGAAAAAAAAAAAAAGTTAATAATTTTTAAAATTTTTTATTAAAAAAATGTTTTCTCACGCAATAAACAACAATAGTAAACTCACTGAATTATTTCAATGCTTTGCAAAGGATAGTTCACCGACCTTGAAATTTCATTAAATATATTCACAAATTATAAATTTATTAATAAGTTAATCATATTTTATAAGGTATATGAAAACATAACCTTGAAATGTAACTTATGACAAGTGAGCGTGAAAATTACTACTAGTCTATAGNTATATATATAAATATTATTTTTTATATTTAAAATGTTTTGCTTAATTATTAAAAATTGCCCAATCAGAACAAAGTAAAAGCAAGTGATTTGAGAGAATGACGTCTGCTTGTAAAATTTTACGTCACAAATTTTTTTTGACGTAATCTCAAACTACCAATTAAAATCGAGTATCTGTAATTTGCATACGATTTTAAAGCATGTCATCTGCTTTGAAAATTTATTTATTGATAATAATAATGTCGAATATTGTAAGACAATCATTACTTTAAATTTAATATAAAAAGTATAAGGAAATGAGACATATATTCCTATAATGATTTTAATTTGTATTATAAAAACTCCAAATTTCAAATAATTTTATTTATAATTTGTTCCCGTTTAGTTATTAGACAGTTTCAAATATAAATAGTGATAAGGTCGAGGTACAGTACATAGGAAAAAAGAAAACATTCTTATTACATAACAATAGACACATTGAATATATTCAGCATTGTGTTGGAGCTAATTATATATTTTAACGTGTCTTGTTCGCCCTACAAATAGGAACCACACAAACACACATACTCGCACAAATATACGAGAAAAAAAAATGATAAAAATTTAAAGAAAAACTCTAAACGTACAGAGTATTAAATTTGTTTCCATACAGCAAAATTAAATTACATTTTTTTTTTAGAAAATGTCAAAATATTTTGTTATCCTATGGACAAAAAGCATGGGAAATTGCCTGAGGTATCCACCAACAGGGAATCCCAAACCAATCTTTTATATATACTCATTACCGTAATAAGAATATCGAAATTTAAATTTGGACCAGATTTGAGGATCCTAGATTGGCAGTTTGGCGCAAAAGCAGGATGCACTGATACAGCGTTAAAAAGTGAACGAGATTCCCCCCCCAAAATTCCCCGAACAAGAACGTTTAAAGTCAACACTGTACAGTATATGGCACCCCCTAATTCAAATTTGCCTGGGGCCCCCATGAAGATATAAAATAAAATACAAGATTAGATAAGGGTTATTATGTTTATTTCAATTGCTTTTTTAAAATGTTTAAATTCTAAGGTAATTTTTTTCCTAAAAAGCAAAAACTATATACAGGTCTGTGTACAGTATTGTACTGTACATAAATGATAAGATTCTAAAATTTCGTTGCGTTTTTTTTTTAATTATAATTTTATATATACAGTAAATATAAAAGTAACAGATTTTTCGTATAATATTTTTGTCATTAAACAATAAAGTATAAAATTTATATTAAAAAATTCGTGTTGTTAGCCATTTTAACTGCTAAAAATATTATTTTCTAAAAGTTAAAAATCATTTGTATCTATAAGTCGTAAGTGCCAGTTAATTTTGAAATCTTACAAAGTTTCATTCAATATAAAACTGTTTGTAATTGGAACCTCTTAAGCTCAGTAAGCATATGATTTGTTTATAAGGTTGTTAATACTATCGAATATTTCTTTTGGTACGACAATTTCTGCAGAGACTTTCAACACTGTAGTTTAGAAGACGATAGCTTCTTTCGAAATGAATGACTGGGAATGCGGACGTTCTTCCCAGACGGCAGATTAGCTCATTGTTACGATAATAAGTTTATCCCGTTTTTGGAGACTGCACTACCTGACACGTGCCGTCTTTAAGGTGGAGACAAATGATGATATAATCTTTTATATTAATAAATAAGTTTTAAAAAGTATTCCCAGGCTTATTTTTGTCGTCAATATTTTACATCGAAGTATTTTTACTTCCGTAAATAAGCCCAGAGATTATTTACGTAAGTAAAAAGTAGTAAAATTGTATTATTTTAGTTGGAAAATGATATACTGTATAAATATTAGGAAAGAAGTTTCGAGTGACGTCTAGAGTAAATGTTATATCGAAAAGCAGACCATTATATAAATACATTAAATCGTTTTTCTTTTTAGAAATAATTTAATTAGCTTTTGTATTATTATAAAAACCAAAATTAAAAGCAAAAATGTGTATAATAAGACACGTTAAATCACTATATTACTACATAAAATTAAATTATTTCCAATAATACAATAATGAAATTTTAATGAAGTTTTATTAAGTATTATAAAATAAAAAGAAATTAAATTACTTGTTAAACTTATGACATTTTATTAATGTTTAAAAAACATCAAAACATCAAAAATTTATAAATCAAATGGAGCTATTTCATTACAAAAAAACAATCAAACTAGTTCAATTTTTTTTGTTTTTTGTTTTTTCTATTAAAATGAAATATAAACACGAAATCGTCGTTATGAAGCTGAAATATTATAATTTAACTTGACCTTAATTTGTCAGGAAATAAAACTTTTTAGGAGAAATATATTATAATCCAAAAAATTAAAATTACAAATAATAATAATATCCATCCATATTGAATATATTAAATAAATTGAACTCCTCGTAAATAAAAGTATTTTGATACATTTGAAAATCTAATTAGCTGTTCCATTTCTACTATTAAAAAGGTATGAACTTGGATCATAACATTAAAAAAAATTTATTTTGTGTGCATTAATTTTCAATTAAATTATCTGACCTTATTAAAGGCGACATATTATCTATAAGTAGCACATAATTTATTTTACGCTGATTAAAAGAAAGAGGAAAAAAATATAATAAAATATAAAATCATAACATTGCTGATATTAAAGATAAGTTGTTGCAGGAATATAGCTTACATGGACATCGCAAAAAATTAAAAATTGCAACTAAGATAAGAATAAAATTTCTAAGAAGTTATACGAATATAATATTAACAAATAAAATGACCTATTTAATTTAATAACCTTTCCTTAACGTCGGGATTTTTTTTAAGTATAACGAAATACATAGAAATGATCTTGAACTTTAAAAGAAATTTATGATAGAAAATGACATTAAATTTAAAAATTTAACAGAATATTAATACAGATTTATTATCAGATTTTAATTTAATTTAATTTATTTATGTAATTATGGATTAAAAAAACAACAATGTTAGAGACCCGTCTTTCTTAAAAATTAATAAAACTTACGGTAACTTATACGTAATTGTAGACACTTCCTTAAAAAGTGTTTTAAATTCAGTACATTGTAAATCTAATTTCTTTTTATAACACAAGAGAACACTAGTAAAATAACTCATTATATTCAGATAAAGAAATAAATTCTATTTGAAGATAAAAATAGAATTTTAGTATTGTAAGTGGATGATATTAGGAGAAACAATCCCGTAACATTTATATATATATAAAAAAAATGTATTCGACTTCAATAGACAATACTGTTTTTTAAAGGAAAAACAATTGAAAATGTAATAAAATCTTAATAGGAATGGAAACTGAAAAAATTAAAGTATGTATCCTGTTGAGAGCTTATTCAATGTCAAGTGAAGTAAATAATGTAATAGCTATCCAATTAGGTTAACTCTGTACCAACAAAACTTTAAAAATGAATAGATTTTAACACATAGACACTACATTTAAACGTTGATACTCTTATAAATAACAAGTTTAATTACTGAGTCATTTCCTTTAGGAGCATCAGCTAAAAAGCTACATACAAAACACAACCTTTGTATCAAGAGAATTAACAAAATTATATATGTATATATTTTTTTAACAATAACTTTAAATCAAGGTTTATCAAAAATCCGGTTAAGTATACTTTAATGTTATAATAAAGTTAAATTATTATACTCTCTTATTAAACAAAAAACAATTTAGTTTTTGTTTAATAAGAGAGTATAATAATAGAATTAAAAGTTATTGCCAATAAAGAATGAACTATAAAACAAGTATAAATTAACAATAGGCCTAAAGGTCTACTTTAAACGATTAAAATCTTGAAATGTTACTTCAGAATTATCAATAAACAAAAATAGACTTAAATGCATTAAATGATCACAGATAGAATGAGTTATTATTTAAATAACGAACTAGGTCAATGGAGACAGATTGTTTTTTTTTAATTTTTAATTTATTTATATTAATTATCAATTCTGAATATTTAATTAATGTTGTAATAAAATAATGGAAAATGTTTATCTTACATATTAAGAAAGTAATTTAATCAGAATATTCATTTAGTAAAAAAAGTCAGAGTACAATATTATAGAATGATACTAGTAAAATAAGTTTTTATAAATAAATGCAAGTCTTATTGATGTATTTATTTTCAATAGGAAAGTTTTCCGCATGAAAGATATAATTTTCTAAATGGAAACGAAAAAAAATCCTTAT